AATTGTTTCCCATTCAAATTAAAGGGAAAGAAGAAGGAGTGACGTTAAAAGCTTCTGAATACCAATATGATCCATCAATATCGAGGGTCCTCTCACAGACTAAGCAAAGGATGACAGTCACTATGCTATGTGCTGAAATCGCAATCTCCTCTACCGTAGATTTGGTGGTAAACGTGTGCGCGGTTCCCACGAGCCGTGCAGCTCAAATGTTATCAAAATAATTCACATTTCGGTCGAGACGACATTTTTGACGTGTGCGAGTCTCAATGTGTATGTTAGTGTTTGTTGGTGTGAATTTCAACACTCTCAATGGGGTGGTGTTGGTCATCCTTCCGTCAGCTAACATTTTCGACCCGAGAACACACAAGATGAAGTCTAAGATGACGAATTATATGCTGCTACCGTAATCCTTGTTGTCTTGTGGAAGTGTTTAGTGGCCAAAAACATTATGAAACATTTGTCATGGCGGCGATGGTGTGATTCATCGAATGTACAGTCTTTTCGGCGCCGTTTGTCGTGTTTCATGAAATTTCTCGGTTTATTGTGCGGGAGTCCGGTGCAGAAGCTGCTTCTGTACAGTATTGGCTCATCAGAAGTATTCACCCTCTTTAAAAAAAGGGTTATCTCTGACCATACTGATTCGGTTCCCATCAATAAGTTTTATCATTCAACCCTTCTGTGAATTCACTGGCGCGAAATTTAAACGCAGAATTTTAGTTGAGATGATGTCGCAGATGCAGATGCTTGGACTGTTTGGCATGGCTCCCGCTGTCACTCCTGAACTCCAACGGCTTATGTTTGAAAATCGTGAGTTCCAGTTTCAGACTTTTACAGTTGTTACGCACAATTAAAAGTATAATTTTTGTAGAATTAGCCATGGCTAATCCATTTTTGGCAAGTACACTATGGAATTTGCCTGTTCAACCCGCTCCACCTCAGCTTCCTCTGCAAAGCACAAAACCGCCCGAGCCTCAAGGTGAAACTCGTCCTCGAGAGGAGCAACCACTAGATTTGAGTAGAAAATCGGTAGGGTGTCTGGTAGCATATTGGGATAGGCCAAGCCAGTCTCATCCATTATCAATTTAGGGATTGGAAGCAATTATCGACATTGAAACTGCCAATTATAGCCACAAACAGCGAAAGCATCAACAACATCAGCAAAATTTTACGACAGTAGAAAAGGAACCGGCTAGGTTTGTCTGAGCTTCTAAAGAGAGAAAATTCAACTCAATGTACTATTTTAGTTCGGAGGATTTGCTAAGAAACGGGTACGGTATGAAACGGAATTATAGTCAAGTGGATCTAACGGCAGCTGTCAATGATATACGATGTGGGCGATTAGGGACAAGGCGGTAAATTTAATTTTGCATAGCATACTAGATGTAATCGTGCTTACTTTACTAATTAATTTGTTTTAGGGCATCTGTAGTATATGGAATTCCTCGATCAACTTTGAGAAATAAAATATACAAACTAGAAGCAGCAGAAGAAATGGCTGGACAAGTTCCAATGAGTAAAAGAAGGCGACCTGGCGGACAGAGCAATGCCGAGAAGAAACTTGCTGAGCAGGTTGAACGGCAGAAAAAGTGAGCAAATTTTCAAAAAAAATTTTCTGTGAGAATTACAATTTTCTAGGGCCTCTACCCCAGTTACTGATTGTTCATCTATATCTCCGAGCAGTGATGGAACTGAAGGAGAGGTAAACTTGCCTGAAGTATACCACAACATGAAGGTGATTTTATATGTTACAGAAAACTGATAATCCAGAAAATCGCTGGGATAGCGATTGGACTACAAACCTCTGGCAGAGCCTCTTCAGCCAAACTACGGTTAGTTAGTTTGATGAGTGTAATGATTTATACAAAAATTATTCAGACAAGCATGGCTGGTGACAATATTGGTACGTCTTCGAAAGAAGATGTCAAGAAAGAAGATCTCTCGGAATGGAAGAAAAGTCGACCAAAACGTGGACAATACAGGTAATGAATTCAATCACTAAATTTCAACTAATTTTGCCGAAGTTTTATATGGTAAGAGTTCTTTTCATCTAGTCATCTTACAATCGTTTGAAATCATCTGAATTTGAAGTAAATATTATGACATACCACTGATTTCATTTTTTTTTTGTTGCTGCTTCTATCACCCCTTTTAATCTAGTGACGCTTTCCGTTCGACTCGGAGGATAATCTT